TGGCTGTTTCTACATGAATTAAACCTATAGATGCATTATGTATCATCCAGCCTATATAGACTTGTTGCAGATACTGAGAAATATTTGTACAAATATACAAAAAAATTTTAGTATCCATTCTCAGTTTATTGCATCTATCACAATCAATCCCTTACACATATGATCTCTTGCTGGATCCAGTGCATTTGCCATATCATTTGTATTCTTTACACACATACATTTAACTTGTTTACAAATGTACACAGCTGTAAACAACATAGAACCTTTTTATGCCATCTTTATGTACCAACAGATTTGGGTCTGTGTTGCATTTTATTTATGCTGTTCTGCCAACTGCATTGATCTGTCATTATATACAGCATCAACAGATCAAGGTCTGTTTTTTTTGTTCACCTGAAATAGTCCTGCATTGACCAAGATCTGTCATTATTATGCACTGGCAGATCAGGATCTTTGTAGTTTGTTTTAGTTATTAGTTCTTGCAAACCCCATATACTTAAATATGTTATCATAATGTAACAACAACTCAAGGTTTTTGTTGTTTCTTCTACTAATTAGCCCTAACAAACTGCATAGATACTGATCTGCATAATTATGCACTGGCAGATCAGGGTCTGTGTTGTTTGTTTTAGTTATTAGTTCTTGCAAACCCCATATACTTAAATATGTTATCATAATGTAACAACAACTCAAGGTTTTTGTTGTTTCTTCTACTAATTAGCCCTAACAAACTGCATAGATACTGATCTGCATAATTATGCACTGGTAGATCAGGGTCTGTGTTGTTTGTTGTACAAATTAGTCATAACAAACTGCATAGATACTGTTCTGGCCTTATTATGCACTGGTAGCTTGGGGTCTTTGATTGCAGATTGATAACATTTGTACATGTGGCACTGATTAATGATTGATTGGGGTCTTTGATTGCAGATTGATATCATCTGTACATGTGGCACTGATTAATGATTGATTGGGGTCTTTGATAGCAGATTGATAACATTTGTACATGTGGCACTGATTAATGAATGATTAGGGTCTTTGATAGCAGATTGATATCATCTATACATGTGGTTCTGATTAATGATTGATTAGGGTCTTTGATAATATCTGACATGTGGCATTGATTAATGATTGATTGGGGTCTTTGATAGCAGATTGATATCATCTGTACATGTGGCACTGATTAATGATTGATTGGGGTTTTTGATCACAGATTGATATCATCTGTACATGTGGCACTGATTAATGATTGATTGGCATCTTTGAACACAAATTGATATCATCTGTACATGTGGCACTGATTAATGATTGATTGGGGTCTTTGATCACCAATTGATATCATCTGTACATGTGGCACTGATTAATGATTGATTGGGGTCTTTGATCACGGATTGATATCAGCTGTACATGTGTTACTGATTAATGATTGATTGGGGTCTTTGATCACAGATTGATAACATTTGTACATGTGGCACTGATTAATGAATGATTAGGGTCTTTGATAGCAGATTGATATCATCTATACATGTGGTTCTGATTAATGATTGATTAGGGTCTTTGATAATATCTGACATGTGGCATTGATTAATGATTGATTGGGGTCTTTGATAGCAGATTGATATCATCTGTACATGTGGCACTGATTAATGATTGATTGGGATTTTTGATCACAGATTGATATCATCTGTTCATGTGGCACTGATTAATGATTGATTGGGGTCTTTGATCACAGATTGATATCATCTGTACATGTGGCACTGATTAATGATTGATTGGGGTCTTTGATCACAGATTGATATCCGTACATGTGGCACTGATTAATGATTGATTGGGGTTTTTGATCACAGATTGATATCATCTGTACATGTGGCACTGATTAATGATTGATTGGGGTCTTTGATAGCAGATTGATAACATTTGTACATGTGGCACTGATTAATGATTGATTGGGGTCTTTTAGCAGATTGATATCATCTGTACATGTGGCACTGATTAATGATTGATTGGGGTATTTGATAGCAGATTGATATCATCTGTACATGTGGCACTGATTAATGATTGATTGGGGTCTTTGATAGCAGATTGATATCATCTGTACCTGTGGCACTGATTAATGATTGATTGGGGTCTTTGACCAGATTGATATCATCTGTACATGTGGCACTGATTAATGATTGATTGGGGTTTTTGATCACCGATTGATATCATCTGTACATGTGGCACTGATTAATGATTGATTGGGGTTTTTGATCACCGATTGATATCATCCGTACATGTGGCACTGATTAATGAATGATTGGGGTCTTTGATAGCAGATTGATAACATCTGTACATGTGGCACTGATTAATGATTGGGGTCTTTGATAGCAGATTGATAACATTTGTACATGTGGCACTGATTAATGTTTGATTGGGGTCTTTGATAGCAGATTGATAACATTTGTACATGTGGCACTGATTAATGATTGATTGGGGTCTTTGATAGCAGATTGATATCATCTGTACATGTGGCACTGATTAATGATTGATTGGGGTCTTTGATCACAGATTGATATCATCTGTATATGTGGCACTGATTAATGATTGATTGGGGTCTTTGATCACAGATTGATATCATCTGTACATGTGGCACTGATTAATGATTGATTGGGGTCTGATCACAGATTGATATCATCTGTACATGTGGCACTGATTAATGATTGATTGGGGTCTTTGATCACCGATTGATATCATCTGTACATGTGGCACTGATTAATGATTCATCGGGGTCTTTGATAGCAGATTGATATCATCTGTACATGTGGCACTGATTAATGATTGATTGGGGTCTTTGATCACAGATTGATATCATCTGTACATGTGGCACTGATTAATGGTTGCACTTTTTTTTTAAAGTTAGGTCTTGTTCATCATTTGAATGTCTTCATAAAATATGTTAAGCATATGTCTTCATTCCTCAGTCTTCCTAAAATCTGTCTCCCCTCAGTCTTTATAAAAATCTGTCTCCTCTCATCCAGTCTTCATCCCTCAGTCTTCATAAAATTCTGTCACCCCTCAGTCTTTATAAAGATCTGTCTCCCCTCAGTCTTCATAAAAACCTCTCCCCTCAGTCTTCATCTCTGTCTTCATAAAAATGCTGTCTTCACTCGTCTACTCAGTCTTCATCCCTCATTCTTCATAAAAATCTGTAACTCCTTGGGGTGCAAGCTTCCTGTAGAGAGAAATTATTATTAGTTAGATGAGAATGTCTTTGACGAATGAACAGATGACTTTTGCACTTAAGTGTTTTGGGAGGGATTTGCTGTTGAAGTCTGTACCTAATTATTAGATAAGAGCTCATTTGGTTAATGAAGCCAATTATCCTGTACTGGTAGAGAACACAAGTACAAACTACAAATATTTTGGCAGTTTTATAAAGGTACCCTACAAATAGGTATAATTAGCATTATTATTACCATACTTTATTGAGGTTACGAAAATATGTGACCAAACTGCAGCTACAGAACAGCTGTTTTAGTGTGTTCAGACTGAAAACAGCTACAGAACAGCTGTTTTAGTGTGTTCAGACTGAAAACAGCTACAGAACAGCTGTATTAGTGTGTTCAGACTGTAAACAGCTACAGCACAGCTGTTTTAGTGTGTTCAGACTGAAAACAGCTACAGAGCAGCTGTTTTAGTGTTCAGATTGAAGACAGCTACAGAACAGCTGTTTTAGTGTGTTCAGACTGAAAACAGCTACAGAACAGCTGCTTTAGTGTGTTCAGACTGAAGACAGCTACAGAACAGCTGTTTTAGTAAATCTCACTGTGATGTTATAGGTATGTATGACCAGGATACTTTTTTAAATTCCAGTAAAAAATGAATTATTACTTGTGGAATAATATATAAAATAACAAACAAATTATAAAGTCATTTTGGGCACATATTGCTTGAACATTAACTCATAAATATTTTTCATCCATTATGATATGTCTGCCATGTGGCAGTTTATAGTGATGTCTAGCACTAGGACATCATGCCACAGACATGCAGCATGACATTCCTCCCAGTCACATTATCTCAACACTAACTTCTTAATGCTTTGCACCTAGCAAGGCAGCTGTTGGTACCAATTTTATTAATCTTTGGTATGACTTAGCTGGGGTTTTGAACTGGTATCTTCTGCATCCAAGGTGGATGCTTAACTACTTAGGCCATTGGTGGGGGGAGGTGAGGGAGAGAGAGAGACTGTCAGATATGGTTTTAATATAAGGACTAAATGAGGAGAACTTATTTGCAGTATACTAGTTATTTCAACTATGCTAGAACAAATACTTTATATTTTTCATGGGATGGAAATTTACGTAGCAACTAAGCTTGGAGCAATTTGAAATTTTAAAACTTGAAATAAATTCATGAGGAAATTCTATACAGATAATTCTATAATGAAACTTGCTACTCAGACAATGGAGAATTTTTCTATTGATTCTCTGTAATGTTTTTTGGATTACTTGTATGATGTATATCTATTTTTTACCTGTATAATGCATTGACTTGTTTTCATAACCATTATAATATATACTTTTTTACTTTTATAATGTATTTATTTATTTTGATTAACTTTAAAATGTATTTTTTTTTTATCTAACTAAAGTCAACTAATGCATCAACATTCCCAGACTGTTAAGCAGGTTAACATTGCATGTAGTTAATCACTCACAGGGAAGATGTACACTTTAAAATGTTTGTGGCTGTTTATTGGATTTCTGTTTTGTGATGTGATGTGATTATGATTTTTAACCTAGCTTTAACAATTTTTCAGTCATATCGCTAGGATGTCTGCAGTGTGGCAGTTTATAGAGATGTTTTTCACTGGGGCATCAATTTGCAGACATGTAGTATCATGTCCCCCCCACCCAGTCACATTATCCTGACACCAGGCCGACCAGTCCCCACACTAACCTCTTAAGCTGAGCTTCAAGTGAGGCAGCTGTTAGTACCATTTTTGTAAGTCTTTGATATGACTCGGCTGGGGATTGAACCCATGACATCATGCATCCGATGCAGATGCTCTAACCACTATGCCACTGGATCGGTCAGGTTTGCTGTTTTGCAACAGCATTATTTTTTTATGGTTATGTTGTGATGGGTCCAAGTAAAGTGCATTACCTAAGGACATACCAGTCTGGCCTCTGCGACTCATGTAGCTATTAAAGGGTGCTTTATTTTCTTTATTTTTTCTTATACCCCCTAATATATCATGCATCATCAATCCATACAATTTATGTAGATTTCTTACATATGGTATGGGGCTTACACCATTTATGTTTCTTTCATATGATGCAGGGTCTATACCATTATAGTCATATTATGTATATTTCTCACATATGTGTGGGAACAACTCTGGTGACCTAGTGGTTAGAGCATCTGCCTTAGATAAAGGATGTTGTGGGTTAGAGCCTTGGCTGAGTCATATAGACTTTTAAAAAAATTGTACTAACAGCTGCCTCACTAGGCACTTGGGTAACTAGATGTTTTAGTTAGGATTGGTCAGCTTGGTGTCAGGATAATGTGACTTGGTGGGACATCAGGTTACATGTCTGGGGCATGATGCCCCAGTCAGAGTTCTCGCAAGGATTTTAAAACTAGGAGTCCAGGACTCCTAATTTGGTAAAAATAGGAGTCCCACCAGCAAAAGTGGGCATTCCGAACTAGGCCAGAAATCACGTACTTTCTTACACTTGGCTACGGTTGTATCCGAACTATCAGTTATAGCAACTTTAGCCCAGTTCTGAATCTAATTGAAATCTTCATCAATTTTTCATTTTAACTACAAAACACTTGTCTAAATTTGCAAACAGCATTTTTCCAAGTTTCTTGATTTCGAGTTCGCGGGCAATATTTATACGGCAACAACCGGAAATGAAATCAATAACAGTGATTGCGCTGGGCTTCGCCAATGTTGCAAATTGAGGGCGGAAACGTAAATCGCCAACAGTCGACCACGCAACAGCAATTTAAAAAAAAAAAAAAAAAAAAAAAAAAACAGAAAAAAATATGCTGCAACTTCAATGAAAACAGATTACCTCTAAAACACCGATATATACTAAGGAATTTTTTTAAAAAAAATTGTCAATGTTCTACAATTAATTTGATATTGCCGCAAATGGGGGTTTGTTTTGTCCGTCAAAGAGAGCCTTTAAAGGTGCCTTCAATAGCACATGCACCTTCATCAAAGCAAGCCGGCGACCTTTGATCAAAGTAAGCAACAAACTAAAACTAAAATAAAAGCATTGCTCCAGTTTTCATAGTGATTAGAACATATTTATTTTGCTGCAAAAGTTTCCTCCTTGCAACAAAAACGTGTCGGCAATTTTTTTTGCGTCCCAAATCAAAAGTTTGCGTCCAAATACGCGTAATTAAGCGTTTCTGAGATCTCTCCCCAGCGATAGACATTATTACTTGAAACTGCCACATTGCAGACATCATAGGTTATGTTAAAATCCAAAACACACACACACACACACACACACACACACACACACACACACACACACACACACACACACACACATGATACGCGACCTTAGTACACCATTATGGTCATATCATGTACTGTATATTTCTTGGGGGCCTACATAATTATGCTTGTAGATCTGTCTATTTATCAATCCATCCACCCATCGTGAACAGTTTGGTTTTCTTTTGATCCTGCTCTCAGGGTTTATTCTATGCTCTAGTGCCAGTGATCCTTTTTTTTTTTAATCTTTTATGCATGAATGTACACTTCATGATACCTGTAGGGCACTTAAAAAACCACAACAAAATAAAGATGAAAGATTGTTAAAGTTGACTTTAGACTGAAGCAAGCACACCACATGCTTCCTTAAAAAAGAGCACTTGTTTCCAAAGAATAATAAAACAATCTATTTCATTAACTGACAAAATTTTCCAACTAATTTTGTTCATCTTTGATAGAGTTGAGAGCACCTGGTGGATCTTTGATAGAATATGTAATGTAGAAAAGATTAAATCTTCAGGGAAAACAGTACTACATTTATTTCCATGGTAGGCTTAGTGTACAGGAAGAAAAGATGCTCAAAATAAATGATAGAGGGATATGGTTACTTGAGCTTGAGGAATTCAAACTCTATTACTGAAGTCTTTTGAGGTTATCATTTTTCCATCATTATATATTTTGAGAGCTTGAGGAATTCAAACTCCATTACATAAGTCTTTTGAGGTAATTGCTTTTCCAGCATTATATCTTTTGAATAAGTCATTGTCAAGTTGGACTTGAGGAATTCATCAGCTAAAATAATTGAAACTAACAGTGCATCAATTATTGTTGAGTTGGACTTAAACTTGGTTTGCTACAAATTTGTCATCAGCTAAAATAATTGACACTAACAGAGGACATGATTATTTTAGTGTAAAAGGAAATTGTAGAATGTGCATAAAAGATTAAATTTTAAACATGAAAGCATATATAGATCATGATTTGCAAAAAGTTTATTCTTAGATATTTTGGTTGGTTTTTAGGAAAATTTTGAACATAATATTGGCTATGTCATGCAGAGAAAATGAGAGTTAAAAGCCTTTGTCAGGAACATATCCAGAGCTGGCATGTGTAGGTATCAAATGAGAGTTAAAAGTCAGGAACATATCAAGGGCTAGTATGGGTAGGTATCAAAAGAGAGTTAAAAGCCAGGAAAATTTCAAGGGCTAGCATGGGTAGGTATCAAATGAGAGTTAAAAGCCTTTGTCAGGAACATATCAAGGGATAGCATGGGTAGGTATCAAATGAGAGTTAAAAGCCAGGAAAATTTCAAGGGCTAGCATGGGTAGGTATCAAATGAGAGTTAAAAGCCTTTGTCAGGAACATATCAAGGGCTAGTATGGGTAGGTATCAAATGAGAGTTAAAAGCCTTTGTCAGGAACATATCAAGGGCTAGCATGGGTAGGTATCAAATGAGAGTTAAAAGTCAGGAACATATCAAGGGCTAGTATGGGTAGGTATCAAATGAGAGTTAAAAGTCAGGAACATATCAAGGGCTAGCATGGGTAGGTATCAAATGAGAGTTAAAAGCCTTTGTCAGGAACATATCAAGGGCTAGCATGGGTAGGTATCAAATGAGAGTTAAAAGTCAGGAACATATCAAGGGCTAGTATGGGTAGGTATCAAATGAGAGTTAAAAGTCAGGAACATATCAAGGGCTAGCATGGGTAGGTATCAAATGAGAGTTAAAAGCCAGGAACATATCAAGGGATAGCATGGGTAGGTATCAAATGAGAGTTAAAAGCCAGGAACATATCAAGGGCTAGCATGGGTAGGTATCAAATGAGAGTTAAAAGCCAGGAACATATCAAGGGCTAGTATGGGTAGGTATCAAATGAGATTTAAAAGTCAGGAACATATCAAGGGATAGCATGGGTAGGTATCAAAAGAGAGTTAAAAGCCAGGAAAATTTCAAGGGATAGCATGGGTAGGTATCAAATGAGAGTTAAAAGCCTTTGTCAGGAACATATCAAGGGATAGCATGGGTAGGTATCAAAAGAGAGTTAAAAGCCAGGAACATATCAAGGGCTAACATCAGTAGGTACCAAAATCAGGATCCTTAGATTATGAGTCCAGTGTTCTGCCATTACTGAGGTACAGTGACTCCCATTTAATTTAAAAAATAAGCTAAAGAAATGCAGTGCACAGTTATGTTTCAGTATATATATGTATCCATGTGTTGAGGCAAATAAATGTGTACCTGTCTCAATTTCAAACTCGAAGAATTGTCTCTTCTTGATTTAATTAAAATTTAAGTACTCCCTTGTTAAAAAAAAACTTATTACAGTTTATAGGAGCATACAAAAATATCTCCTTTAAATTATTTACATGGGGTAGATATTTGGAATTGACTTCATTGTTTTCCAGGTAGTGCTAGATTTTCAGCAGTGGTTAATTTATCACCTGATGATTAGCAGACAACACAGCAAAGCCATATGTACATGGTTTTAATTTTGTCATGAATTAAATTTAATTGAATGTCAGCACAATCCTGGTTATAAAGTAATGATTAAAAGTTCAGTTCTGAAACTATAAAGACAAAACCTGCAGAAAATCTTCAGAAGATAAGACAATCCCACATAAAAGTAAACATCTTTCCCTTGAAGATAAAACAAAGGTAAAAAAACTGTTAAAGGTGAAAAGAAGAGTAAACTCCTGGAAATATAGGGTTCTAACTACAGAAAACAGCAAATGGATGCCAAGACTCATCAGACTGGTTTATTTTATCTGTGGCATCTTGAAACAATTTTACCAATCAAAGATTACAACAAAGTGAGAAACTACATAATTTATGGGTGTTCATCTGCCCTAGGAGTGATTTAACCTAGTGACCCAGCCAGTAAAATATTTCTCAGCCAAACTGAGGTCACCACTCCCCTAAGATTAAAGAATGTAGTGAATCAGTTTTTCCAACAGTTTATTGACCCAGTCTGGTCTCCTATGGCCTGTCTGTCAGCTTGATTTAAACTGTAAATTAAACAGAGATTTGAGCTGGGTTCAGATAGTTGCCAAACTGTATGTAATTATAGACCACTGAAATAGTGTAAGATGTATAATTACAGTAGAGTTTATGTTTGATAGCATGATTGTAAATTTCTCAAGTCACAAGGCTACAGTAAAACAAAACAAAAACAAAACAGACAAAACAGAAAAAAAACAAACACCCCCCCCCGCCTAATTACAAAGCAGCACATTAAACAATAACTTGTTTTTAATATATTAAGTTAAGGGATTCCAAAAAGTAGGCACCCCATATATGGCAACATGCATTTGCAATGATAGATTTGTGGTTATGATGCAGAGATTTTGTTGAAATATGGTACATAATATTTGTTTCAGAGGCCATCTCTTCTGTCAAGAAAAATAGTATTTCAGAGCCTTTCTTTATTCAAAATAAAAAAAGGTCTTTGAAATCCTTTATTTCAGTAAATAGTAATTTATAAGTTGAGTCCAACTTCAAAACTGCACAGTCCAAGAAATACCACCACATAATGTGCAGGCTTACTTGGGTCTATGCAGTCTGTTTGGAATTATC